AATAAAAATATACTTTGAACTTTTTTCTGATTATAACTGAGGGAGAAGTATCTGTGGAGAGCTTTTGTGGGGGCGGGGATTTATTTAAAGTGAGCTGTTTGCTTTTTGAATGTCACAAACATCTGCATGCTAGAGAATTGCCATTTGTGTATATTGTATGATAGCGTCCAAGAGCTTAAAAAAAAACATGCTGGAGCCATGAATCAAACTCAGTCATGTGACTAAGGGGAGGTACCGTGCTGGCTCCCAGCCAGTGGCAGAAGCTGATGGGTGGAACAAACAGGGCATGAAAAGACTAATATGACCAACGGATCTTAGAATTGTGGTACCCTTGTCTGGATCTACAGGAATGTAGACTTTAGCAGTTCTGCAGCTCTGCCAGCCTTTTTCCTGACACTGGAATTGTTATTCACAAAGTAGAATCCTTCTGCTTTGTGATAGGAAGGATAGAAAAAGAACATGGCCTGCATTTTAAAGGTAAATCTCGGTATCTGTTGCTTGAATGCATTGTTAAAAAGAGACCCTGGCTGCTCAGAGGCATGGATTCAGTGCGGTCCTATTGCATCTTAATCTTAGCTGTCTTTTTTGAGTATTGGTTTTGTCTGGCAAATGAATATGGAGGGATTCTGAAATGTACAGCTGTGTTCTGCTTCCCTTCTCTGCCATTCTTTCCCTCTTCCCCTGCATTGTCAGAACTGCAGGCTATCAGCTAGCTAGCGGAAAGGAAGCTGTGTGCAGAATAATAGGAAGGCATGAAGGGGGTGCGGGGCCTCTGGCTTGTCTTAGCTGACTTTGTTTAGCTGAATTCCTTCAGGAGCTATAGCATGTGGGCAACAGCTTCCCCGTGCAAAGGACAAAAAAGGGGAAGTTGTTTTTCTCCTCTGAACGAGCAGCGCTTGCTGCTTTAAAGAAAAGGCTTCAGACTTACAAAGCTGCACAAGTTGCTCCGTAAGCACACACCCCCTTCTGAATTTACACAAATCCACATGCTAGTACATTTTAGAGCCAAACTGCACCAGGTGGGGCAACTATATGCTGACACATGTGAACACCAGTTTCATGTTGTATTTCCCTCTCCCTGTTAGACATTCCCACCCGCTTTCCTTGCTAGTAGAAGAGTCATTACAAAAATCCCGTTTTTTATATGAGCATCACTACAGAAATCTGGAATCGGAGGGGAGAAAGTGGAAGTGCAGGCAAAAAAAGAACAATTAACATATGCTTCCTTACAGTATTGTTACTAGGAGGGAGCCACTATGCATTATTTCTCATTTTACAGATTAAGTAGCTGATGGGTCATATTTGCAATCTGCCTTTTTCCTTTCTACCTGTATTTTAAAAACATAAACCCACTCTGTTCCACTTCACAAGTAAAACAGGGCATGGAGACCCATCTGCCAGTATTCCCTCATTTCCAGCTGGATTACTCCTTTAATAAAGGGTTGATTATTTCGAGCGGTGGGACAGGCTCGAATAGCAAATCTCTCCAAAAATGCAGCAAAGCTAATGAATTGCACAGCTTAATCTTTGCGAAATAAATGTGCTTGTTTCTCACTAGTAAGATGATTTTTGTTTGCTTTCTTACATTTTCTTGAGGAACAGTTTTCTCCTGTCTTCCCCTCCCCTACCCCGTGCCTTTGCACAAAACAGTTTGTGCATGTAGCTTTGGTTTCTTTAATGCATATGTATTTTGTGGAGGTTTTTAGTAATAAGTATGTCAGAGGCTGGCTCAATGCTGAACTCTTGCTGAGCCACCCTCTTTGAATGTTCCTGGTAACTAACTCCCAGGAGGAGGAAACCCCCGAAGAAAAAAAAAATAGCTAGTGGATAAGTTGTGACACAGGAGCTTCCTGAATTGGGCCTGCTTTCACAAAGATAAGATGCCATTGGTGGTAGCATCTGCAAACAACCCAAAAATTGATGTAGAAATATTCTTCTCACTCCTTGGAAACTTCTCATGCAAAAGCTCTCTTTGGACCTGAAAGATAAGTTAGTTGTTTCCTTTGCGAGAAGACTCAAAGGTTTCCACACCTGTGTTTTCCTTTCTTCTCCTTTCCCCAGAGGCACAATGTTTCACTTTCCTGCTAAGCCTTGTGGCCCAAAGCCACTGTATCACTTCTGTAAGTCTGACTTCTGGAAATCCTTCTTTTTATGCTGTTTTGTTATTTTATAATCATATTCTTTCTCCTCTTCTCAAATCCTGCCGTTCCTGGCCAGTAGGGTAGTTCTGACTGACAGTAGTCCAATCAGCCTAACTCTTGTCCTTGCATCTGCCTGTATTAACAAGATTAAAAAGTGAAAGAGATGTGGAGATTAGCTTTGTAGCAAGTCAAACTAGATTCTTTCTATTCTGTCAGGAATAATCTAAAGGTTTAGACCAATGATTCATAGTCACTTTAATACTTGGTATTTTTTTTTAGCCCTTTGTCTATAAACATGTGCTTCATCATGTGGGATATAGTAACTAATATCTACAAAATAAATTCTGTAGACACCTTGAAGTGACGTCAGGTTGTTTCTCAAAACTAAGTGATGAAGCTGAGAATAGGAACTACATTTGTAATTGCATCCCAACTGTATCTTCTTCTTCCTACAACTTCAAGCATATTTTAGGGTGTGTGTAGATGAAATGGGGACCCTAAATTGAAGCGGTGGATTTAAAAAAAACAGTGCTTCAATTTAGGGCTAATTAAACCCCTGTGTTGCGCACACACACCACTGATTTACCTGCCTCTCCAGTGGGGAGGGGAGGAGGCTGGTGCTTCCTTCTGTGGCAGCAGCACCCTCCCCTCCCCCCTCAGGTGGCACCGGCCCTCAGGCACCCAGATCAGGTGGTCCCAGGGGCCACCGCAGCCATGGAGGGAAAAACTGGGCCCCCGCACAGCTTGGGCAGGCAGGCTCTGGGGGGAGGGGAGAGATCAGGTTTCCTGCTTTCCTTGGGTGGAGCCTGCTTTCCCAGGCTGCTGCCAGGCTGTCTGCAGGGCTTCCTGCAGAGCCGTGGAGCTGCACGGAGCCCGGTGCTTTGCTCCACAGCTGTAGGAGCAGCAAACTAAAACTCCTTAGAGTAGTGTTTGTTTGCTGTTTGTGAAGCAGTGATGTTTGTGAGCTGGAATTGATTCAATCTTTGCAGGTTAGTCTAACCTGGCTAGGATGAACTGGTTTGTAACTGGACAGACATTCTCTCTGGACTGAGGAAATTCAGGCACATGCCTGCAGTGGCTCAGGCTAGAAGCTGGGGGGTGCTAGAGCAGCCCTCCCTTCCCTTGTACAGACTGAGCACAGGGGTGGGGGCATGGCCAAACTCCCACAGGACTTCTGATTAGGGAGGTCCTGAAGATGCATTGCCTGCACAGTCCCAAACTTTTCACTGCTGGCTGCTCAAGGGGCAGGGGTGTTGCCAGAGCCCAGCCCATGCCTAGCACTCTAAGGCAAGGGGGGTGTGCAGTGCATGCATCTACTGATAATACGGAGCTTTTCAATCTCCCTCTCCCTGATTCTTTATACTGTCTGCAGCAAACTGACAGGTGAGTAAGCCAGCAGGAGGCTGGTAATAGTGATTATCACCTCATCAGCAAAACAGTAGGCTCTCTCCATTACTTCAAACTTTTATTAAACAGCTTACCGGCTGACCTGTTGCTTCACTCTAAATAGCCCTAAGCAGTCACCGTTCTGTCTGCCTGTCCCAGTTAAATTGGAGAGACACACACAGATACCTCTCAGCATTAACTAGTATACCACATGCCTAGGGGCCATGGGGCTGGGGTCCGTGCTGTGGGAGATGGGAGGGGAGGGGATTTCTGCTTGAGCAGTGAGGCAGG